AAATGAAGTTCCCCCTAACAATGTTATCTCAGGAGATTCATCAAAACCAAGTTTCTCTTCGTATCTGAAACGTAGTGAGACAGGAGAAAATGAACTTTACTGGAATCCTTAGGCCTATTCATTTCATTGTGGAAAATAAAAAGCATATATCTTATTCCATCGCTTTAAGCGACTTAGGCTGACTATATTTATTATCACTTGGTTATGCTTGAGGAGAGAAGAATACCGACAAAAAAGAGCATCCTCAACCAAGACCCTGACCCAATTTCCCTGGGGTCCTGGGAAAGAGGATACCATCCAGGTTACAATGAGCCTACCTTCACCCGACTCCGATTGCTCCTCATCCGTGTGTGGTGATAAATCCGTCTTTGTGATGTCTTTTGTATTATTAAGGACGAATTCACGTTCGACAGCATAACTCTTCCTCGAGAAAGGAGGTGTTAGAGATGGAGCAGGAGGAGGAATAGGAGATTGAGGGGAAGAGGGGGTATGAGAAAGAGGGGAAGGAGGGGTTGATTGTGATAATGTTGTTGTTGTTGCTTTTATTGTTAATGGTGGTAACGGAGGCGGCGGTGGCGGCGGCGGCGGCAGTGGAGGCGGCGGCAGTGAAGGCGGCGGAGGCGGAGGCGGAGGAGAAGGTGGCGACGGCGTAGATGGATTTATCGCAGCCTGAGTGATGATTTGTCCAGCCAACTGCTCTTTAGCTCGATGAGCTCGTTCTCTCTCCTTGGCTGCCTGTCGATGCTCTAGCTCAGGCCACGGTTTGATGACCGGGGACTTTGATGGCACAGCCGTGTCTTTTAGCCTGAGACGGCGTGGCGGCCCGTTCGCCAAGTCGCTTCGGTAGTCACGCTCAAATTCGTCTGTCGAAAAGTGACGTGAACAGACTCGGGAGTGCTGCGAAGGGGTGAACTCTTTGCGGCCGCAGGCGGCCACCCAGGCGACTGTCCTGGCGGCATCACGTCGTGGAAAACGGAAAAAGCTGAGTCCACGACCGTCATCCGTTCGGTTGTGGCATCCAGCAAAACAGCATTGAGGCATGCTTGGCGCTTTCAGACGGAGGATGAGAAGAAGACGAGTCAGGCTGTCGAGCTCCTGCTCAAACGGTCCCCTGAATACAAAGAGACGGATAGAAATCCAGACATTTAGTTGAGGCTCACCATAGACGGTGGGTGAGTGAAGTAGATTTCCAGAGCGAGGGACCGCGCTTAAACCAAACTCAGTTGCGTAAGCACAAAAATGCGACTCAACTCGAGTCAGGCAATTACGTCGAGCCGGGAAACCACCTCGAGCACGGACAAGGCTGATTCAAACTTGGCTGGCTGGTTGGTTGGTTGGTTGGTTGGTTGGCTGGCTGGCTGGCTGGGCGATAGGTTGAGAGAATGGCTGCCCGGTTGGTTGACCCGCTGTCTGGCTGGCCGTACAGTCGGCTCTTGCTTTCGCTGTCGTCTGACGGTAAGATGCCCAATGTACTGGGTCGGATTGGCTGGAACGGCGATTCGATTGCTTGTTATCCCAAATCGATAGGCTCCATTGATACCCGAGTCCAGTCGACGAGACATGCGCGCCGAGGGGACAGAGTGGTACAGTGCTTCGATGAGTAATGTTTCTCAGATAGGCAGTGAGTAGGCCTTAGGCACATGTACAGACATAAGCATGCACATTCATGCAGACACAGATGAGTAGGCCAGCTACACACACATGCACACACATGCAGATACGCGCGCGCGCACAACAAAAGTAGTTTCGAAGACCACGTAGTGGATTGCAGACAGGTCGGCTGAGCCTGCTCAAAGAAGTGGCTATTTCTTTCGGCAGTCGGGCTCGGATGAAGCCTTCTGCAAATGGGCTTTTGCGGCCTGGTCTCCCAGACTGTCCCAGACCGATGCGGGCACAGAAGCGCACTCTCCACACACATGAAGGCATGCACAGGCCTCGGCCATTCGTGCAGTATAGGCCCAGAGGCCTGAAGAGCAGGCAGGCAAGCTGGTCGACGCGCAGCCAACACCTGCCCGTGTTGGCAATCGATTTGCCCGGGCGTTGAGGCGCAGGCAAGAGAGCGCGGTAACAGACCGAGGGACGGGCCTATGCTGCGACAAGCAGGGGAAATGTCAGGCCTTCGCGGAAATTCGACAAGTTCGGTTTACGCATGAGACCTCTATTTGGGCGGCCTGGCCTTGACAGCAAGCAGAACCAAATGTCTACACATGCACACGCACGCGCACGCACACGCACACAAATAGGTTCCATCAGAGGATTTCTCTACTTATGTGCCCACCCGAAAAGGCAGGCAA